AGACAGACTTGCTACATATCCTGAAATGTTGTAGACCCTTGTAAACTCATTTATAGAGGATAGCCAACTCCCCCCTAGTCTAGTCAAGAGTATGTACCACAAATTTGTTTGACCTATCCTAAACTTCGTGTGAGCTGTCCTGCCAATCACAGGTAACCAACGGTATTACCCATGGTTATGCTGAGCCGAGCATAGCTCTCGAGTATGAAGACCAGCTGAACTTGTCAGTGTCTAAAAGCAGCTATTATCAATGTAATCTTTTAATTTTACAATAAAATGTTCATTGTAGCATCAACAAAAGTGTAGATAAATAAAGGTAAACAATAAGCAGTGTCTGTATCATATGAATACAATCCTAACAATATATATCCCTAATTATGGGCATAAATATTTAACTTTAAGGCACAAATCTGACCCAAGGAGCAGGGCTTGTTGATTTTTTTAATTTAGCTTTTTTGTTTCTTTCCTACAGTTCCAGTCGCTAGGCATGCATCAACAAGAAACCTACAGGAGCCATGGCATGGGAAGCATGGTAAGTCATAATGGCTGTAATAAAAACAACTTTTCCTTCTTAACCGTTTACCTTACCCGATTTATTTTCTAGAAATGCTATACTAGGCACTGGTAAACTCTATGATGAATAGCCATGCTACCGCTTTAGATCCACAAGAGGGTGCTGGAACCCTTATGTTAAAAAATACTGCCTTACCTTTTTTTGGATACAATATTTAACTCATGCTAGCTTGTTAGCTTTTACACATATACAAATACTACTAAAAGTAGTTTAAAGAAAGTGAAACGTTAGTGAGGATGTTTGATTACAAGTATTATTATTCTATACTGCCAATATTAAATATAATATTAAAATACAACATTTATAAATATACTCACAGATTTACTCTTATGTTAACAAACACACATGATGGCAGCTTTGATTCATTTTATGATATGTTCAGTATTTAATTACTCAATTACTAAAGTAGGTAGATGCTGAAGCAGTTAAAAAAATAATTTTGTGTGAAAAGATCTCTAAAATATTATGCTACAGTGTAGAATGCATTAAGAAAAAGATAGATATACACAGATTTTCAGAGTAAATTTAAGTCTGCAGTGAACAATGTGTTTTGTATTTTTTAGAGGATGAACTCTACGTGGAAATCAAACAGAACGAACACCTATCGGGTAAGGAGGCTTCATATTTTACAAAACATTGAAAATCAGTGATTATGTTAACAAAGCACTATGAAAATTATGCATTTGCATTATATGATGCAATAAAAGCTGACAACCCTGTTCTCTGTAAGCAGGCCGGCTCATCAATTTACCAACGTTCTTTAAGCCTTCGATCGGCTGACCGCATTGAAGACCATATCAACAGGGTAAGAGGTTTATTTCACACAAAGCATACCTTGTATATGGCTTATAATGCACTTGATTTTACTGACGATCACATACATTAAACTGCACTGACTGCACAGCAATGATGTGTGGAAGGGCTGCAGTCATGCTGTACCAAATGCAATTCAGCGCTATACTGAGTAATGTTTATTTTTTGTTTGTTTTACAAATTAAGCCAAGCCATTTATTTTTGACTTCTAAATTCCACAGAGATGTAACGAGGTTGATGGAAATGTTGTTGACCACCCGGCATACCAACCCCACAGCTATGCCTTTGAAGGAGATGGCAGCATATGTCAGTCATTGGATAAACTGTCATTCCACGACATGGGAGAGGATTTTAAGTATCTGGATGATTTGGGGCCAAAGTTCAAGACTTTGGGACAGATGTATGATGAGGCAATTAAAAAAAAGAAAGTACAGCTTTAAAAGGCACTGCTGAAATGTAAATTGTATTCCAAGTTTCGCTCCCTAAAATACAGACTGAGCAGAGATGATACACCACTATGTTTTAATATTTGTACTTAAAGATTATGGACTATAACATCGAATTCATCCTAAGCCAGGTATATTTTGTTGGCATTAAGATGGATTTAACGCACTGCACAGCTGGTGACGCACTAGTGGTTTGTGAAATGTAATAACTTGAAAGGGATTAGGTGATTTTTCTTGTTTTTTTAGTTTGCTTTGTCAGGGCAGTATTATTGGGAAATTTAACAGAACTTCTTTTGTTGAAACTGAGATGACTCCTGTTAGTCACATTTTTCTAGAGTACTGTTTTGTAAAGGAGTTCTGATGAGAACACAGGGCTTATCATAATGGGTTATTGTTCATGCAAGTTAGAAATGTCCTTGGCTTATGGTTGATGATCGAGTGACATACTGGTCTGGAATTAACACCGGATATCCTACAAGATTAAAACGTTAATGTTAATGTTTAGTTTTTGTATTTGCATTTCATGATACAAAAATAACAAACTTTATTCCTATAACACCTTTCTAAACCAGTCACAAGGTTCTTTAAATACTTTACAAAAATAACACATTTTTATAAAATACATAATAAAATGAATGACATAAAAAAAATTAAAAATGAAATTAAAAAACAAACAAAAAAAGCAAGATACATCAGGAAATGTTATTTTTAGAAGAGCAAGTGTATACAGGTATATTTTTTGAGTTTACTGGATGGTTGGACTGATTAAGCTGATCTAACAGTAACAGACTTGTTCCGGGGGCTAAAACAATAAAAGCACTGATTTTAAGTGATTTACAAGTAATATAGAAAAATTTGAAACTGTATGGAATAGAGAGCAAATGTGCATATTTGTAAAAAAAAAAAAATGTTTTCTTTGTTAGGAATTAAAATAAAGATTGTAGTTTTTGGGCTGAAATACTTCAACTTTTTAAAATTATACAAAGATTTTTTTACACTTTGTAATGACAGCAATTAATTATATTTATTCAGTTTATGTTTGCACAAGTGTGGCTTCAAAAACATCACTGCATAGAAATATCACTGTAACACTGAGTTGGGTTGTCTGTACTTGTGCCAAGTTTTGAGCTTTGGTTGTAAAACTTTGTGACAGCTCCTTAACAATGTGCTTTGTTGTGTTGTGCTGACTGTAAGCTGTGTAGTCATAGCTCTTTCAGCACAAGTGAACTTGTTGTTTTTTTAAATACTGACAAATGTCAGCAGGTAGTCAAGGTGAGCCACAGAGGGTAATATGCAAAACAAATCTATGAACATGTTTGCGTCACATGCATAACTTAAAAACCTTTCTCTATTACAAGTGCAAATGAATTGCCAGAATTCATAAAAAGACAAAACATGGATTATAAATAATAAAACATAATATGAAACAAAAACAGACAGATGGGGGCATCAAATGAGGCAATAATGAGGGCATTAAAGACATGTAAAAGTTCACTTTCATTTTTTCCATTTCTTCTGGCTGGTGTAAGTGAGGTGTGGTAGATCATGGTTCAAAAGGAAACTAAAATTTGAACTTGTTGATGCATTTTTGCTGACTTTTATTATTCAAAACTTTTTTCTTAAAACTGCGGGGTGTGGAACCTTTTTTTTAGCTTCTACAGTAGGAAAGTTTGAGAATGACTGGATTAAAGTACATACAAGAACGCATAGGGGGTTTCTGTGTTTTTAAAGCAAGCCTGCTTGTTTTAGAAACACAGTTTGTTTCGTTATTTTACTTTGCATGGGGTGGTTTTGGCAATGATCTTCCCACACAGGGTGTTGTCCATTAACAGTTCTTATCTGTTTTCCGAAGAAGTGATTTTATCAGTGCTGCTGGTAAAGGCTCTGAAAGGCTGTTTTGCTTCAGGCCATAAAATAGTTATTTTAATGTCTGTGAAGGTTCTCAGTCATCCAGGTCATCGTAGTCAAAGGAGCTTGCAAAGAAAAGCGTCTGCACTTCTTTAAGTTACTTGAAGACGTTTCACCTCTCATCCGAGAAGCTTCTTCAGTTCTAAGGTCAAATGGTGGAGAGTCCCAGATATAAACCTAGT